AAAATTTTAAAAATAATCATTTTTTTTAAAATACAAACGCAACAACGAGACTGTGTTTATTGGAAATTGTGGCTGTTCAAAGTGGATTCGTGAGAGCACTCTAAGCGCAGCCTATTTACAAAGGACACCAAACAGGGACGGGTTGTTTGTATTGTTTGCTTGAGTAAAGAAAAGCACATCAACTCAATACTGGTCATAAAGTGTTGGGGGGGGGAGATAATGTCAGACAGAGAGTGAACAACAACAGAAGTAAGAAATCAAAGCAAGACTTACCCAAGTGGTGTCCCCCACCCATCCACATGAGCGACAGTTTGTTGAAAATAAAGTTAAATCACAGAGTAGTATATATATATACAAACTATAATGTTATAAGACGACTTTGAACCAAAAAGATGCACTTACTTTTAGAAATAATATGCGGGTGGTTGGCAAGTGCTTAGGTGTGGTTTACTCCTTCCTCCTTATCTTTAACATCTATAGTCCTGATCTCTCCTACTCTTTTTCGTGTTTGTTACTCTCTTGCAACACCTCTTATCTTCGGTACACATGTACTTATATGACGTTATTGTGTTGTAAGTGATGTAAAACCTTTACTGAAACTAAAGAAATATAATATCTCTATTGCATTAAAATTGTTTTTGGGTGGGTTTTTTTTAACTTTCGAACTTATACGATTCGTATTGTGTTGGGTATCGCTATCTATCAGCTGGGGGAAATAAATCGATACCTCATCGATAAAAAGAATCGTAGTTTCAGTCAGTCATCGTAGTCCTTGCTTATACATGACGTGCGACAGTCTGTCTGTCCCGAATCCTGATCCGCCTCTGTACATCTGTACCATGTGTGTTCTACTGTACCGGTCCACTACCTGAGGAGCGCGCTTGGGTGACGTCATCATGAGAGCCGCTCTGGACCAGGTAGGCCAACAAACACGAAGCGATAAGTCAAGCACCTCTTCCTCGACAGTCGCCTGTCGCTTGAGGCCAGCGGACAACACGGTGATTTTATGTGTGTGTGTGTGTGTGTGTGTGTGTGTGTGTGTGT